CAGAGCCTCAAGCTGTCGCCTTGGGTAGAGTGCTGTGGCATTACAGCTCACAGCAACCTCCAACTCTTGGGCTCAAACGATTCTTCTGTATCTGCCTCCCAGGTAGCTGGGACTACAGGTGTCTGCCATAATGCCCGACCATTTTTTTTTTTTTGGTTGCAGCCGTCATTGTTTGGTGGGCAGGGCTGGACTTGAACCTGCCAGCTCTAGTGTAGGTGGCTGGCACCTCATCTGCTTGAGCCACAGGCGCTGAGCCTTTTTTTTTTTTTTTTTTTGAGACAGAGCTGCATGCTGTCGTCCTGGGTAGAGTGCCATGGCATCACAGCTTACAGCAACCTCCAACTCCTGTGGGTTTAAGTGATTCTCTTGCCTCAGCCTCCCAAGTACTGGGACTACAGGTGCCTGCCACAATGCCCAGCTATTTTTTGTTTGCAATTGTCATTGTTTGGCAGGCCCAGGCTGGATTCGAACACACCAGTTCTGGTGTATGTGGCTGGCGCCTTGCTACTTGAGCTACAGGCACCGACCCAATTGTCACTCCTTTAGCGAGGCCTTCTGCTCGTATTCTTTTCCATATTACCCAGTTTTCTTTTCTTTTTTTTAGAGGCAGAGTCTTACTTTGTCACCTTAGAGCCGTGGTGTCACAGTTCACAGCAACCTCCAGCTCTTGGGCTTAGGCAATTCTTCTGCCCTAGCCTCCCAAGTAACTGGGACTACAGGCACCCACCACAACACTTGGCCATTTTTTGTTGCAGTTTGCCCGGGGCGGGCTCCAACCTGCCACCCTCGGTACATGGGTCTGGCGCCCCACTCAGCCACAAGCATGGCCCCCCAGTTTTATTTTCTTCATAGCACTTAACCCTTAAATTGTATTGTGCAGAATGTACTGTGCATGTCAGCATTCCCAAAGGCCCCAGAGAACCCACCCATTCATGCAGAAACCACCTTTAATCCTCATCATGACCTTAGATAGGAGAAACTCAGGTCCTGAAACTACTAGGAAGGTGCGCAAGACCACAGAGCAAGGTACCTAGTGGCTGTCTGCTGGGGCCATTCCAGCTTCTGCTGATAATGTGTTTATTGCATTACTTTAGTACAGTTGGCAGGCATCACCAGCCCCCAACAAACCAGCCTGTTCACAGCTTTCTGCTCACTGCCCAAGGAAGTGGTCTGTCCCGAAGACTGGGCACTCCAGGCGCCTCCCAGACCCCGGTGGTTCGGTTGTTCTGAAGCCCAGCTTTTCTGTCCCCTCCTTCCTGGCTGGTTCCTGCGCCTGACCTGGGCTGCTTTTCCCAGGGCTATATTCAAGGGTTATCCTGTTAATAAATAAGCCCATACGGCTGCCCTATGGCCAGGGCAGGTCAGTTGGTGTCTCGTCGCCCAGGACCCTAACCCGTCCGTTATTTGCCCTCTCTTCTGCCTGTTGTCTCCTGCCTGGTCCCCGGCGTGGGGACAGCCTTGTCACTAGTACGCTGCGCTGCGCTGCGCGGCCCCCGCTCAGCGCGGGGTTCAGGAGCGTTGGTCCGCCGATTGCGGCCCTTCCTCCGGGACTCTGGGGTTGGTGCACGCAGCGCAGGCTGAGGGCGGCACATGCGCAGGGAGCTCCTCCCTCCACCGCCGCCCTGCTCCACCAGCTGCAGAAAGTCGCGGTACCAAAGTTTGGGGCTCGGCGGCACGGCAGGTGCAGCCTCCTCGGCCTGCGCCAACCTTTCAGCCTGCGCAACACTTAGCACATGCAGTACCAGGCGACGCAGCGGCTGCGAAAAGCCCTGTTCAACCGCTACACACAGGTACACGCCGGAGTCCCGGCGCCGCAGCCCACGCAGCAGTAGCCCCCCGACGGTGCGCCCAGCGCGCTCCTCTGTCTGCACCTGTGGGCGGGGGTCAGCATGAGGCCGGGGCGTCGGGGCAGGGAACTGAATGTCCTGGCCCGAGCTCAGGACAGGAGAAGCAAAGGGTCACTGGGAGCAGAGGGGCAGCAAGAAAGAAAAGAACTCCCGCAGGTGCACATTTAAAGGTTGAGTGCACTGGGGTTAGTGGTCTTTAAGTGAATATTTGAACTAGGTGACGTTTACCTGAATGTGGGGAGTGGGTCAGGGGCCTCAAAAGACGGGTCGAGGGCGGGTCTTCTCCCAAATGTGGGATGGGGGAAGCGGACCAGGAGCCTGGTTGGACAGAATGAGGCCTCAACAGGATATGAAGTGCAGGTAAGGGACTGGACAGGCTAAGTAAGGGGTCTGGTTGAGTGGAGCCTCGTTGGGCTGGACTTCTCTAGACGTCAGGTGAAGACCAAGAACTTCAGTGGGTATGGCGGGACCTCTCCTGGATGTAGGCACAGGAAAAGGCCTGATTGGGAAGGGTGGTACAAGGTTTACCTGAGTGTGGGAGGTCTCCCCTGTACGCTGAAAAGTCCACTCCATGCGTGCCTGCAGCGAACGAGGCTCACACTCCAGAAAGGCATTGCCGCCCTCTACGCCAAACACCTTTCGCTCCAGCAGCGCAGGACGAGATGACTCTTGGGGAGGAAAGAATGAATGTTCAGATTCACACAAGACGAGTGGGGCGTTTTCAAGGCCTGAACGTGGGGGCAGATAAGGCACTCACCTTCGGAGCACAGCATTCTGGGGTCTCCATTCCTTATGTCTTGCCGCCGGAACCGCCTGGAGGAACATTGGATACTCGATAGCCCTTCTTCCAGCCCAGAGTAGTCAAAGACCCCTTGGCTTCCTCCCTGTGGCCCGACCCCGACCCCGCCCACCTCTTGGCGCTGGGCTGGAAGCGGGTGCACGCGACTCCGTCCCAAGCGCAGTAGGGATCGCGCGCCAGACAGCATTCTGCGCAGGCGCGGCCAAGGGCCGCGCAGCGGTGCAAAGCGACCTGGGCTACCGCACTCCGTGAGGCCACATACAACTGGTTCTAGAGGGTACGACAGGCTTTGAGCTGACCGAGAGCATCCCCATACCTGCTTCCCATGGGTCAGGGATCCCTTCTCCTACTTGACAGGTGAGAATACTTTAGTCTTACTCAGGTCAACCCAGTCTAACAAAGGCAGGCCCCACCACTCAAGCCTGGGAGCTGTGAACTACCAAAAGGGGCAAGAAGGTTGGGATGCTCGGGGCACAAGCTCAGTCCATTCCATCCCCCACTCTCATCCTTCTAGTCACTCACCCTCTTGGAAGAGATCTGCATGCTGGTGACTGCAGCCGAGTCCTGAGAGGGAGGAGGGGCACCAGGGTCAGGGCTTAGTCGGGTGAGGGACCTTGGGTGACTGGGGGCAAGGCCTCACCTCAAACATCTGCAGCTCCTCCAGCAGCAGCCCCTCGACGCTAGGACTACTGCTCTTAGGGACTGAGATCACTTTCAGCACTGTTCCAGAGTCTGCAAGGATGAGAGAGAATGCTTGTTGGCATTCTCTGACATCTAGGGCTGGGGTCTCTTGCCTCCGAGGCCTCCACCATCAGGATGGTTGGGTCGAGGTAAAAAGTGTGGATCGGAACAATCAGGGCAGCATCCCAAAAGTGAGGCCATAGCCCAGGAAAAGATGTGGAGATAGGCCTCAACAGAGAGAGTATCCACTTCCAGGCCAGGAGCCTACATGTTATCTTGTGAGTCATTGTGAAGGGACCTGACCTGTGCCAATAAAGAGGACATCATAGTGTCCATCAGCAGCTGCCACCCGGTCAGCAGCGATTTGGGTGAAGGTGTACCCAGCTCCCACTTGCAGGAAGAGAGGGCGCCCTCCAATAGGCAGGACTGCGTTGTACATGAGGGGGTGGTTCCGAGCAAACTGGATAACATCATCTGGGAAGTCCTTGGTGGAACTGAAGGTGCCAAAAGTCTTGCTGGGGCACTGGAGGTGGGAGAGAGGCATAGAAGGAATATAGGTATGGTGACTTGGAAGGCAGGCCTCCATTCAGGCTTCTGGGGACAGCAAGGAGGAAAGGGACAGAGCCCAGCCCTGAGGATTTAAGAAAAGTAACCCAGCCTTGCCCTGGGAAGTCTGAGGGGGAAATCTGGCCTTCTCCTGAGGATCTTGCCTGATGATGGTGACCTTTTCCTACCCATAACTAAAGGAAGAAGCCACATTCACCAAGAAGACCTCAAGCCATGTTCTTCACCCTTCAGGCTTTAAAGTGGATTGTGGCAGGATTCTCAGGCTACACACCATGCCAGGCCGCGGGTAGGGGACACGTCCCTGATATGACACCCACTGGTGTGTGGGTCCCTCCTTGTGTGCAAAAGGTCCCAGGAAGGCCCGGCGCACATCATTCATGCTGTACATGCACACCGCGGAGCCCTGGAAGATGCCACTGTAGACAGAGGAGAGCAGAGTGAGGGGGTCCAGTGGAGCCCAGCTGGCCTTGCCCAACAATCCCTCCCCGCCAGCTCCCACCTGGACGTGGAGAAGACAGCATAGAGCAGCGGAGTCAGGCGGTCCCGGGAGGACAGCAGGAACACGTCCTCTGAGGGGAAGGGATCTAGTAAAGGGTGGGAGTCCCCAGAGTCTATACCTCTACCCCCTCCCCAGTACCATCCCCTACTCCCAAAACTCACGGAGTTGGTCGAAGTGGGTGTCACCCTCAATGCCTGGCACTGAGCACACTAGCCGCGCCTTCAGGAAAGTCGTCCACTTGTTGACCAGGCTGCGCTGGCCCCCCACGTCGTTCTGCCAGGATGATCCCAGAGGATGAGGGCGGGACCCGGGCAGGCAAAGGGGCAGGAGTGGGGTCGCTGAATGTGGTCCAGGGACTCCTCACCCGACAGATCTGGCCAACGCGGGACACGAACTGGCGTCCCAGTGCTGGCGCCGCCTCCACTGCAGACTCACGAAAGAAGAAGTAGATTTTGTCGTCGTCCGGGTTCTCGCTCTCCGGGATCCAGAAAACCTTGACAAACTTGGGCTCTGGCCGCAGCAGGAAGCACGGGGTGAGGTAGTCCTTGTACTGTTCCATAGGGGACCCACGAGCTGCCTCCCCTTACCCTTGCGCAGGCTGTAGCACCCAGGGCAGCGTTTGACCCGGCCCCCGTGACCAATTTCAGTCCGCGCTTGGCTCGGGCCAAATCCAAATGATCAGGGCCTGCGGTGCAAGAAGCAGCCACGAGGGGGCAGCAGAGACCGTGGCTACCCGGGCACTTAGGTGGGGAAGCCAAGCTGGCTTCTGACCTTTCCTCACAGTTCCCCAGGCCAAAAAGGAAGGGAGATGTGGTATCCGGTTTTTTGTTTTTTGTTTTTTTTTTGAGACAGAGCCTCAAGCGATCCCCCTGGGCAGAGTGCCGTGGCATTACAGCTCACAGCAACCTCCAACTCCTGGGCTCAAGCGAGTCTCCTGCCTC